AAGCTCACGGTAGCAGGTAAGTCTCTTCTGTAGTGAAGTGTATAATTAACAGCATGATAATGTAGATGTATACTCTGCCCTTGCAAAAAGAGGAAGGTGCATTCCAAGAAAGGAAAAGATTGTTTCATCAGTTATCAGTGAAACTGGAACATTATCTCTCATCTTACTAGCTGAAACTTGTCATATATTCTATTCTTCTAAGTGGCTTAATGTGTGTGTATTTCTCAGGAAATGCTGAACATCAGGAAAACTGAAATGAATGGATTAAAAAAAAAGTATCAGGTGCATGTAATCAGAGGGAAGATTTACCACAGTTGGGGGGGGGAAGCAGGATTCTACTTTCTTTATGTATAAAATACCCTTGAAAAGAACTTTTGCTGCCTGCTTATATGCTGAAATTTATCTGCCCTCTGTCATGAAATGTTTGGGGAGCTCCTAAAAGCTAGTGAAGTGTACAATCCCTAAAGAACTAGAAGAGTGGTAGAGAAAGCAGAAGTGCTGGGGTTTTGTATTTTTCTGTTTCTTGAGTATCAGGTGTGAGCAAGAAGGTTGAAAAGTTACAACCAACTAAATGCTTAAAACTTCCCTGACAGACAGGGAGAAACCCAAGTCATAACCTCACTGTTGGTATTTTGAGTAACCTTTAGATATGACTTAGCAATAGCTTTTATATCGGGGTAGAAAAGAGTTGGCATGTAAAAATAAAGAATATGGCTGGGGAAAGTGATCTGTTTTCAGAATGTCATTTGCTTGTATCTTAGGGCTTGGGAGTGTCAGATTGTGTGTTTTGTAAACAGTATAGCTGGAAGAGACATAATTACTTAGAGTGAGAAAACTAATGGGGAAAAAAACTCAAGGTAAACTAAGGCAATGTAACTAGGAAAAAAGCCTATAAAGCAATTTTCTTCTGTTTCTCTAATGATGTTTGCCATCCTCTTTCAAGCATTTTTTTTCTTTGCTTAATAAATGTCTTGAGGTAATGAATTCTTCCTGACTAGAACTACAGCATTTCCCAGAGCTGCTGCTTACTTTCATTTATATTCTGATGTTGTTTCCATTAAGTTACCTTGTAGCATTGTTGTGAAACATCAGAAATAAAAAAAATTGGGGTTTTATACCATAAAGGAGTGACTTTCTGTGTCTCTGAGAAATACATTTTTAAGTTTCTTGGCAATGAGGACAATAAAAGCAGTTCTCACACATTATCTCGGGCAATTACCACCTTGGTACATTGCTGCTGTCATGATTAATTCTGCTGCTTTCCACATGAGATCATTCAGCATCTTGCTTCCATTATCTTTCTGGTCTATATGATCATTAGGTAAGGTTAATGGGGTTAAAAATGAAGGTAATCCAAAATGTCTTCAAAATTTCCCATTCAATATTCCTGTATCAGTGTAGAAGATACTATTTTATTTAATAGTTTTTAAAACAATGGAATTTTAGAGCCTTTTTAGTATTTAAAATAAAAAAACCCCACCCAAAACACAGTTCTGGTGTTTTGTTTTCAAAAAAATCTTTGCTAGAAAACTCAATAAATATAGTCTAACCCAAGCCAATATGAACATTTATCACATAAATAGTTTCCCCTTTGTCTCATGTTGACCTAACAGCTGTATTAGGAAATTATTAATCAATTCCATGTAATAAAAATTGTTGGTTTTTTTTGTTCAGAAGTAGAGGAGATGCTCTTGACACATGTTCTTCATTGCCTTATGCCACCATGTTAAGTTAGAAACCTGCAGAAGAGCATTCTCTGGCTTCAGTGTGCATAAGTTGTTCTGCTGCTCAGAAAGATTTGACAAATGTAGGTGTGTGGAAACTCTAACTGCAAAGAGCTGTGCAAGACTACACAGAGTTTAGTCCTTTAGTTGGGTGGAAGGGTAGCTTTGGTTGCTAAAGGCTTTGGAAGAGGAGATGGAATATTTAAATTCTGGTTAAACTAGATTGCTTTTCTTGACCTTATTTGAATCCCTCTGTTTTATCAGTGGTTTTTAATACTTCTTCCTCTCCTGTCTTTCTTTTAATTGGAAGCTTTCAGGCTGCGATAAGTGTGGGGATAGTTAGCATAGTAAGGTCTCCTCAGCCTCAAGATAACCGTGAGAGGCAGCTAATTCCCTTCTTAATTGAGCAGTCGTATGTTGAATTCATATGAGGTATGTGAATGTTGTACTGCAATGCACCTGATCTCTTTAAAAAGAATGTTATGAAGCATAGCTTGCATGTTTTAACTGCTTCTTATTAAATAAATCATTGCCTGAAAGTGACAAATTTTGGTGAGTAATGTAGGCCAGGGCAAAGAGAGAGAATCCAGTACATAGATGCTGTGTTCCATCATATATATGAATGAATACAGGTTTTGAGGTTTTTAGGCCAACTGCACTGTTTTCCCTAACAGCTGATAGGTAATGCTGAACAATCTACCTGTAGTGAGTCTTGCATAAAGATCTAACAGGCTGATAAATTTTGATAAATCTCTCAAATTACTCAAAGGACTTTTTATATATTATAGTTTGACAGATCTAAAATTTTTGAATGTGAGAGACTGAAGCTCTTTTATTGCCATAGGGTGACAGATACTGATAATGCAAGGTGTTGCAAGGTGACAAAGGGGCTTAGTCAACCGTTGTATGAAAAAATCAAACCAAAACACACACTCTCTATACCTGAGTGCAGACTGGTCAGACAGTGACTGAATGCTTTATGTTAGAGACCTACTTTCTTGGCTTCTTGCTTCAATTTATGTTTTTGACACCGTGCTATAAACGTGTCATGGCAGGGGAAAATTGATGATGGCTGTGGATTGGCAAGTTTGTAGTGCATTTGACAATGGGCTTATAAAGAACCTTTTCCATATGTGATAATACATGAGAAGCCTTTACTCTTCAGGTTTTCTGAGGGGTGGCAACTGAGACTCCTATAGAAATTGATCTTTTCCATCTTTAATCTAGTTTCTCATGTGATTTAAAAAACAAGTCAGAAGTTATTATAAAGTTTTACATTATGAAGAATAGTAACGTGATTGGTCTGTAACTTGAAATTGTATGACGTTGTACCTTGACAGTAAGTTGTTTATTGTTCTACCAGACTTCTAGTAGTAAGCTTTGATTTTTAGAAAGTGCAAACAGCAGGGTAGTTTTAGGATACATGTATTTCTTTTACCTGTTAAGTGTGTGCTTCTACATTTTGTTTCATTCTAGCAAATGAAGGTTGCGATTGTTATTGCCAGTGTTTGTTTCTTCCTTTCTTCCTCTTGCTGTGCAAACTTAAGTATGTTATCATGCTCTAAACTGGATTTGTCAAATAACTCATTCATTTTTAACAGTGATTTTGCTTGCTTTCTTTGAAACCAGAATATGACCATACAAACATCAGGGTAGTGGAGGGAGATGGTATGGTGGTCATATAGTCTGTATAATGTATAGGGTTTTGCCATTATCATGATAGATTTGAACTAGGGGAAGTCAGAGGATCTGCCTAATTTATGTAAAGCCACAACACTCCTTAATCAGTGGCTTAGTACAGTACGTTTTTTAAAATTGGTTTTTGAAATGCAAACCTGTCTTTGATACTTAAGTGCCAGTTAGATTTTAAAAAGGGTGAAGGGTTGGAATAGCTCTTACAAAACATGGATTAAAAAAAATTTTAGAAAATTTTTGGGAACTGTTTCTAATTCATCTTGGAAAAATAAATTTGTAAGTATTAGTAAAAACTCTAATGATACTAGCTTTAAAATATTCCTGAGATGATCTCTTTTTCCAGTCACTGTTTACTATTACTTAGTTAAAGCTTTCATAAAGTTTTTATTGAGAGAACAGACATACAAATATCTAAAAAGTTTGAGGCGTGACAGTGGCACTGAGTTTCTTCATACAGATTTATCAGTTCAATACATCAATTTAAAGATTGTTCACTAAATTATTTATTTCACCTGTTGTCCTTTTTCCCCCAGTGAATCCATTTGTTTTTCTTCCTCTTCTTCAACTTGTCTTTGCATTTGATAATATTTGGCTTGGAGCTCTATATGTAATTTCCTTAGTTGTGATGAGGTAGCTGTGTTACTAGGTATGTCTGAGTTTCATTAATTCAGAAAGCAATTGGTGATAACTTATGACATCCTTTCTTTCTCCCATCTTGATTAAATAATCTCCTTATTCTCATTTAAATGTTAATAGAAATTTTATTTTCAAACTTTCGTTTTGTAATTACTTTTAGACAAAGTACAGGAAAATCACTTTTCTTAAGAAATACTCCTGCCATGTACTATCAAAATCTAAACGGGCTCAATAATAAGAAAAAGCAGGTTTGTATTTAGTAAAGATGTAATATAAAGATGTAATAATACTTTCAGAACCATCTGAGAATTTTGTTAAGTGCAGCACTGTCCAGAATGAGCACTGTTTCTTCTCTGAAAACCATCATGGTGAAGCTTTAATTGTTGTTTCATGTTGAAAACACAAACACTGAAACCTTGATAGACTTCCTGTTTTTCCTTTTACAACTCAAGTAGTACTTGAGTGACTTCTGTGGGTTGAGGCACATCATGTACATACTTGGAAGAGAGATTTGGAGCCTAATTCCAGGTATGCTCTAGCACTTTGTGGTGCTCGGCATGATGTTCTGTGTAGTTCTCTGCTTTTTTGATGTGAATATATCCTTCTTCTGCTAGTTCATTTAGTTAATTGTGTAACTGAGACTCTACTGGGCTGCTGAAGCCTCTGGCTTCAGATCCTACTGCTGTGGCATGGTGGAGTGGTTGTTGCAGTTTCATTAACATAATTGTCTTCACTGTTGGGTTGTTTGTTGGGGTTTTTTTCAGAATTTCATTTAAAACCTTTGTAGTAATATATTTGTTTGAAGTGAAGTATCTGAAGTCTAAATGTCAAAATGCGTTGACTATGCAATTACTTGTCCCTTTGTATACGGTATGGTCATATCCACACGATATGCAGTAGATAATCACTTCCATTCCTTCTGCTGACCTATCTCCATCCATATACAGAATTGAACTCAGGG